AGAATCCCTCCACAGCCTCATAGAGGATCTAGATACATTTTCTAACCTCTCTGGATTACAACCAAATTATGACAAATGTATTATATTACGTATTGGATCACTAAAAAATAAAAATTTTACATTACCATGTAGTTTACCAATAAAATGGTCTGATGGTGATGTGGATATACTCGGAATACATATCCCAAATGAAATAAATGATCTCACTCCAATACATTTTAATAGAAAGTTAGCAAAAATAGATAAGATCTTGCTACCATGGAAAGGTAAATACCTGTCAATTTGTGGAAAAATCACCCTGATTAACTCTTTAGTATTATCCCAGTTTACCTATTTGCTTATGGTCTTGCCTATGCCTAGCTAACAGTTTTTTAAATTATATGAGAAAAAAATATTCAATTTTATTTGGAACGGCAAGCCAGACAAAATTAAACGGGCCTATTTATATAATGAATATGAATTCGGAGGACAGAAATGATTAAATATTAAAGCATTAGACCTATCACTAAAAGCTTCAGTCATACAAAAGTTATACTTAAATCCGATCTGGTTCTCTAGCAAATTAGTAAGATTGTCTCAACCAATGTTCAAGAATGGCGTTTTTCCCTTTATTCAGATTACAATCACTCACTTTCAGTTATTTGAAAAGGAGATCATCTCCCAAATATCACTATTTCTAAAACAAGCCATAGAAAGTTGGTTGCCATTTCAATTTAATCCTCCAGAAACGACAGAACAAATAATGCAACAAATATTGTGGTTAAACTCAAATATACTAATTGACAAAAAAACTTTTTTTGGGACAAAATGTTTAAAAAAGGCATAATCTTCGTAAATGATAACATCGGTAGGACTGGTGGAGTTATGTCGCACATGCAGCTAACAAAAACATATGGAAATGTCTGCTCTACTCAAAATTACAACCAAATAATTGCAGCCTTACCGCAAAAATGGAAGAGGAAAGTGGAAGGGGGAGAAAGTAAGGAACTTGTCTGTCGGCCTTGCATTAAATAATATATAATTGGTTAAGGAAAACTGTGATAAATACAAGTATATCAGTTTCATTTAAGGACCAGAGGATTGACATCCGTCCCATATAGATTGCAAAATAGTTGGGAAGAGATTTTTGACGTACCGATCCCATGGCATAGTGTTTATGAACTGATACGCAAAACGACACCGGATTCAAAACTTAGAATCTTTCAATTTAAATTATTATATAAAATTCTTGCTACCAATAGAATGTTATTTATATGGGGGATACAATCTTCCCAGCTCTGCATATTTTGCTGCGAAGAGACAGAATCATTAGATCATTTGTTTTGGTACTGTCCATTTGTAGCTTGTTTTTGGACACAGGTCCAGGAATGGATAAAGGATTGCAATATTTACCTGGAGCTAACCTTGCAGATAGCATTACTGGGTGATCTGAAAAGTCATAGTCAATTGATCAATAACATAATACTATTAGCAAAAATGTTTATTTTCAATTCACAATCTGTAGAAACAATGAGAATAGAAAGGTTCAGAACTTTTGTAAGACATCACAATACAGTTGAAATATATCTGGCAAATAGAAATCCTATATGGATGGTGTTAAAATATAGATGGGAGGTGTTGAATGGAATTGAAGGATGGGACTAATAACAACTAACAACAAATAATAACAAGATAACTAATAATGTAAGCATACTGTGTCCATAATAAGCATATACGTTGTAGGTTGGGAGCTTTTGTGAAAGAGCACAGTTAGAAAGATATGGCATATAGAAGCAAACCGGATGGACATCATGAAAATGATCGGAGAGGTTGAGAGTAGAGGAAGTTCAGGAGAAAAAACAAACAAAATATAATTATTGTAAAATTGACTGTGTCCATAAAATGTAGATAGTAGGTATAAGCATTGTTGTTTACTAGGTTACTCCAAGTAGGGAAAGGGTGGTGGGGTTGGAAAGTAATAAAGGGGAATATATATATATATATTTTTTTAAAGGATTGTGTGTGTGTGTGTGTGTGTGTGTGTGTATATATATATGATGAGAGGGACAGAGACAGTTCGTGAAAGTATGCCTTATCTACTTTGAAGAACTAGTAAAATGATTTTGTCAGATGGCTCTGGAGCATACTTAGGCAGGCTAGCTAAATAGAATGACTAAAGATAGTACAGTATGGGGAGCAGATAATGTTAGATGGTCTGGCTGGCTGACTGCTACTGCCTGTGCAGAGATGAGATGATGACTTTAAGGAATAAAAAAATAATCATGTAATCAAATAAAAACTACTGTAAGTAATATACACAACTGAAATATTGTATTATTTCATAGTAATTTCTTATTTTCTTTATTGATGTCTTCCCAATGTGGACCTGATAGAGGCAATGGACTATTTTAATTGTTTTGGTAATTGAATGTTCACAATTTTTGGCTTTGGAATTTCCATTAAAAAGCTCTACAATCATTGTAATGTCATTATTTCATAATGCATTAACTGTATTTATTATCGAAACCAAAATCGAAAACGTGGGTATTTTTTAAATAGTCAAACTGTAACCGAACCGAGCTTAAAAAGCACTAATTGCTCAGCACGTGTGTGTGTGTGTGGGGAGGGTGGGCATGAGGATGTGTTGCCATGGCACCATGCTGAGCAGTACCTCACTAAAATAGCATACTAAGAAAAACCAGGATAACAGTTTCTTTTGAATGTGGAACCACAGGTTGAGACGATTGACATGCCTTATATTCTTACCCGTGTGAAGGAAAAACAGCGTTGAATGGCTGTTTTAATTCATGACTAGAGTTATTTCAGGAAGTGAAAAGTTGTTTCTGGGTGAAAGGGGGTTATTGAGAGACTAACTGTAGTATCAGCTGTGTCTGGTGGGTTTCTATCAGTGAGTTTCTGTCATGTTGTGTCCCTAAAAACCACAATGAGGTTCCCTGTATGTACTGTAAAAGACACATGATGTACAGTGGGGGAAAAAAAGTATTTAGTCAGCCACCAATTGTGCAAGTTCCCCCACTTAAAAAGATGAGAGGCCTGTAATTTTCATCATAGGTACACGTCAACTATGACAGACAAATTGAGAAAAAAAATTCCAGAAAATCACATTGTAGGATTTTAAATGAATTTATTTGCAAATTATGGTGGAAAATAAGTATTTGGTCACCTACAAACAAGCAAGATTTCTGGCTCTCACAGACCTGTAACTTCTTCTTTAAGAGTCTCCTCTGTCCTCCACTCCTTACCTGTATTAATGACACCTGTTTGAACTTGTTATCAGTATAAAAGACACCTGTCCACAACCTCAAACAGTCACACTCCAAACTCCACTATGGCCAAGACCAAAGAGCTGTCAAAGGACACCAGAAACAAAATTGTAGACCTGCACCAGGCTGGGAAGACTGAATCTGCAATAGGTAAGCAGCTTGGTTTAAAGAAATCAACTGTGGGAGCAAATCTTAGGAAATGGAAGACATACAAGACCCCTGATAATCTCCCTCGATCTGGGGCTCCACGCAAGATCTCACCCCGTGGGGTCAAAATGATCACAAGAACGGTGAGCAAAAATCCCAGAACCACACGGGGGGACCTAGTGAATGACCTGCAGAGAGCTGGGACCAAAGTAACAAAGCCTACCATCAGTAACACACTACGCCGCCAGGGACTCAAATCCTGCAGTGCCAGACGTGTCCCCCTGCTTAAGCCAGTACATGTCCAGGCCCGTCTGAAGTTTGCTAGAGTGCATTTGGATGATCCAGAAGAGGATTGGGAGAATGTCAGATGAAACCAAAATATAACTTTTTGGTAAAAACTCAACTCGTTGTGTTTGGAGGACAAAGAATGCTGAGTTGCATCCAAAGAACACAATACCTACTGTGAAGCATGGGGGTGGAAACATCATGCTTTGGGGCTGTTTTTCTGCAAAGGGACCAGGACGACTGATCCGTGTAAAGGAAAGAATGAATGGGGCCATGTATCGTGAGATTTTGAGTGAAAACCTCCTTCCATCAGCAAGGGCATTGAAGATGAAACGTGGCTGGGTCTTTCAGCATGACAATGATCCCAAACACAGCGCCCGGGCAACGAAGGAGTGGCTTCGTAAGAAGCATTTCAAGGTCCTGGAGTGGCCTAGCCAGTCTCCAGATCTCAACCCCATAGAAAATCTTTGGAGGGAGTTGAAAGTCCGTGTTGCCCAGCGACAGCCCCAAAACATCACTGCTCTAGAGGAGATCTGCATGGAGGAATGGGCCAAAATACCAGCAACAGTGTGTGAAAACCTTGTGAAGACTTACAGAAAACGTTTGACCTGTGTCATTGCCAACAAAGGATATATAACAAAGTATTGAGAAACTTTTGTTATTGACCAAATACTTATTTTCCACCATAATTTGCAAATAAATTCATAAAAAATCCTACAATATGATTTTCTGGATTTTTTTCTCCTCATTTTGTCTGTCATAGTTGACGTGTACCTATGATGAAAATTACAGGCCTCTCTCATCTTTTTAAGTGGGAGAACTTGCATAATTGGTGGCTGACTAAATACTTTTTTCCCCCACTGTATATCTGAGTATTGGGTCAAATATAATGTACTTGCTACGAAAGCTGGTCTCATCAGAATAGTGACATTAACCAATGTAGTTATGTCACCTGATCTGACATATTAGTTATAAATCACTTACGGAAGTTGGTTTGCTGCAGTATGCTGTTTTCAAATGTAACCGAACTACAATCCATCAGTATCCAGACATGTTATTGTTCTTAATCCATTGTTTGATTTTGTCAACATTTCCTTCATACTTCCTGGATATCTTGCATCACTAGATCCGAGCAACAAAACAGACTATTACTGGCAACTATTTCAACGATGCAGCAATGCTTTCCCCTTTCTAACTATGCAATGCTCTCATCTTTTTGTACAGGAGTTGAATTCCTTGGGTGAAATTTGTTTCTGTGCAATCCCTTTCATCTTCTCCATCTTCTCCTTCTCTTTTTGTGCTCAGGAGTGCCGCTGAAGTGGGAAGAAAGGGTAGAGGAGAAAGACCACTGGGAAAACGAGAGGAGAAGGAGAAAGATGGAGCCCATATCTTTAGATCAGGCTGCAACGGTGGATGAGCTGGTGGAAGCGTGCATCCGTGCCTTCGGTCAGTCTCTTTATTTGCCTATGAGCACTCAAATATACCTGCTACTCAATGTCAAAATTAGGGCTCTCCAACCCTGTTCCTGGAGAGCTACAGTCCTGTACGTTTTCGCTCCAACCCTAATCTAGCACACCCGACTCTAATAATTAGTTGGTTGATTAGTGACATTATAATAATGGCGCTGGAGAAGAAGGCTGCCGTTTTACAGCCCTCTAACCAATTGTACTATTATGTGTGTTTTTCCGCGTTATTTGTCATTTATTTTGTACATGATGTTTCTGCCATTGTCTCTTATAACCAAAAAGAGCTTCTGGATATCAGGACAGCGATTACTCACCTCGTATTGGACGAAGATTTTTTCTTCAACGAGGTGGCCGCGAAGGATATCCTACAGACACCTGACAAGGCCCAAATCCCTGTCATTCGCATGAGGAAGAGACGGAGATATCGTGGACGTAGGTCGGGGTGCCTTGTAAGGATCCGACGGCGAGCGAGTAAACTGCCGCTCCCATCAATCCTATTAGCCGATCTTCAATCATTTGAGAATAAATTGGATGACTTAAGATTACAGTTATCCTACCAACGGGACATTAAAAACTGTAATATCTTATGTTTCACCGAGTCGTGGCTGAACGACGACATGGATAACATACAGCTAGCGGGCTATACGCTACATCGGCAGGATAGAACGTCTGACTCCGGTAAGACAAGGGGTGGCGGTCTGTGTATATTTGTAAACAACAGCTGGTGCACAAAATCAAATACTAAGGAAGTCTCGAGGTTTTGCTCGCCTGAGGTAGAGTATCTTATGATAAGCTGTAGACCACACTATTTACCAAGAGAGTTTTCATAGCTGTCTATTTACCACCACAAACCAATGCTGGCATTAAGATTGCACTGAATGAGCTGTATAAGGCCATAAGTCAACAGGAAAACGCTCATCCAGAGGGGAGCGCTCCTAGTGGCCGGGGACTTTAATGCAGGGAAACTTAAATCAGTTCTACCTAACTTCTACCAGCATGTGAAATGTGCAACCAGAGGAAAAAAAACTCTAGACCACCTTTACTCCACACACAGAGACGCATACAAAGCTCTCCCTCGCCCTCCATTTGGCAAATCTGACCATAACTCTATCCTCCTGATTCCTGCTTATAAGCAAAAACTAAAGCAGGAAGCACCAGTGACTCGGTTAATAAAAAAGTGGTCAGATGACACAGATGCTAAGCTACAGGACTGTTTTGCTAGCACAGACTGGAACATGTTCCGGGATTCTTCAGATAGCATTGAGGAGTACACCACATCAGTCACTGGCTTCATCAATAAGTGCATCGATGATGTCGTCCCCACAGTGACCGTACGTACATACCCCAACCAGAAGCCATGGATTACAGGCAACATCCGCACTGAGCTAAAGGGTAGAGCTGCCGCTTTCAAGGAGTGGGACTCTAACCCGGACGCTTATAAGAAATCCCGCTATGCCCTCCGACGAACCATCAAACAGGCAAAGAGTCAATACAGGACTAAGATTGAATCGTACTACACCGGCTCTGACACTCGTCGGATGTGGCAGGGCTTGAAAACGATTACAGACTACAAAGGGAAGCACAGCCGCGAGCTGCCCAGTGACACAAGACTTCCAGACGAGCTAAACCACTTCTATGCTCGCTTCGAGGCAAGCAACACTGAAACATGCATGAGAGCACCAGCTGTTCCGGATGACTATGTGATCACGCTCTCCGTAGCCGATGTGAGTAAGACTTTTAAGCAGGTCAACATTCACAAGGCCGCAGTGCCAGACGGATTACCAGGACGTGTACTCCGAGCGTGTGCTGACCAACTGGCAAGTGTCTTCACTGACATTTTCAACATGTCCCTGACTGAGTCTGTAATACCAACATGTTTCAAACAGACCACCATAGTCTCCGTGCCCAAGGACTCTAACCTGCCTAAATGACTACCGACCCGTAGCACTGACGTCTGTAGCCATGAAGTGCTTTGAAAGGCTGGTCATGGCTCACATCAACACCATTATCCCAGAAACCCTAGACCCACTCCAATTTGCATACCACCCCAACAGATCCACAGATGATGCAATCTCTATTGCACTCCACACTGCCCTTTCCCACCTGTACAAGAGGAACACCTACGTAAGAATGCTATTCATTGACTACAGCTCAGCATTCAACACCATAGTGCCCTCAAAGCTCATCACTAAGCTAAGGATCCTGGGACTAAACACCTCCCTCTGCAACTGGATCCTGACGGGCGGGCCGCCCGCAGGTGGTAAGGGTAGGTAACAACACATCTGCCACACTGATCCTCAACATGGGGGCCCCTCAGGGGTGCGTGCTCAGTCCCCTCCTGTACTCCCTGTTCACCCATGACTGCATGGCCAGGCACGACTCCAACACCATCATTAAGTTTGCCGACGACACAACAGTGGTAGGCCTGATCACCGACAACGATGAGACAGCCTATAGGGAGGAGGTCAGAGACCTGGCCATGTGGTGCCAGGATAACAACCTCTCCCTCAACGTGACCAAGACAAAGGAGATGATTGTGGACTACTGGAAAAAAAAGAGGACTGAGCACGCCCCCATTCTCATCGACGGGGCTGTAGTGGAACAGGTTGAGAGCTTCAAGTTCCTTGGTGTCCACATCACCAACGAACTATCATGGTCCAAACACACCAAGACAGTCATGAAGAGGGCACAACAAAGCCTATTCCCCCTCAGGAGACGGAAAAGATTTGGCATGGGTCCTCAGATCCTCAAAAAATTCTACAGCTGCACCATCGAGAGCATCCTGACTGGTTGCATCACCGCCTGGTATGGCAACTGCTTGGCCTCCGACCGTAAGGCACTACAGAGGGTAGTGCGTACGGCCCAGTACATCACTGGGGCCAAGCTTCCTGCAATCCAGGACCTCTATACCAGGTGGTGTCAGAGGAAGGCCCTCAAAATTGTCAGACTCCAGCCACCCTAGTCATAGACTGTTCTCTCTGCTACCGCACGGCAAGCGGTACCGGAGTGCCAAGTCTAGGTCCAAAAGACTTCTCAACAGCTTCTACCCCCAAGCCATAAGACTCCTAAACAGCTAATCATGGCTACCCGGACTATTTGCACTGCTCTTTTTTTCTCAACACTTTTTTGTTTTATTCTACTTTTTTATTTAAAATAAATGCACTGTTGGTTAAGGGCTGTAAGTAAGCATTTCACTGTAATGTCTGCACCTGTTGTATTCGGCGCATGTGGCCAATAACATTTGATTTGATAAGATGAGTCAGATTAGTTACATCTGGGGTTGGTGCGAAAACCTGTAGGAGGCTAGCGCTAGCTCTCTAGCAACAGGGTTTGATAGCCCTGGTCTAAATAAACCTCAACTTTGTGCAATCAGAATAACATTTCATTTCTAGGAACGGATTGCAAGGAGAATAACATTTCTAGGAATAGATACCAATTTCCCATGTGTCCATGCACCACCATACATAGCTAATGTTGTCAGTCTCAAATCAATAGTAATTGGTTGTCTTATTTGCAGTAACACTTCAGTCATTTGGCTGACTGCTCTTTAGTGTAAATGACATACAGTGTCTGTTGTGTGATGAGAATGTGTCTGTCCTCTTTCAGATGAGAAGGGCACTTTGAAGGACCCCTCCGTAGTGCGCATGTTCCTCATGATGCACCCTTGGTACCTCCCCTCCACCGACATGGCTAAGAAACTACTGCTCAAGTATCCTTCACCATCAGGCACCTGCTTATGGCTTGTCAGGTCTTGTCAGCTACTGTAGGAGCAACATATACTCTTTAACCTTAAAAGCGCCCACACGCACTGAGTATACCAAACATTAGGAACAACTTCCTAATATTGAGTTGCACCCGCTCCATTTGCCCTCTGAACAGCCTCAAATCATCGGGGCGTGGACTCTACAAGGTGTCGAAAGCGTTCCACAGGGATGCTGGCCCATGTTGACTCCAATGCTTCCCACAGTTGTGTCAAGTTGGCTGGATGTCCTTTGGGTGGTGGACCATTCTTGATACACACAGGAAACTGTTGAGCGTGAAAAACCCACGGCGTTGAAGTTCTTGACACAAACCGGTGCTCCTGGCACCTACTAGCATACTCCGTTCAAAGGCACTTAAATATTTTGTCTTGCCCATTCACCCTCTGAATGGCACACATGCACAACAATTCATGTCTCAAGGCTTAAAAATCCTTCTTTAACCTGTCTCCTCCCTTTCATCTGCGCTGATTTTGAAGTGGATTTAACAAGGGACATCAATAAGAGATCATAGCTTTCACTTGGATTCACCTGGTCAGTCTGTCAGGTGTCATTTTTGGTAATAATTGCAAGCAGGAACACTTTATTTGTTAACCGTTTATAACACAAGTAAATGTTTTGAATTCCCCAAAATAAGCATATATTTTAAAATGTTCATACACTATAGTTAAATTGTATGTTTCAAAATACACGTTTTTGTATGTTTTTTAAATGTTTTTTCATCGTGGTCCTCTGTAGCTCAGCTGGTAGAGCACAGCGCTTGTAACGCCAAGGTAGTGGGTTCGATCCCCGGGACCACCCATACACAAAAATGTATGCATGCATGACTGTAAGTCGCTTTGGATAAAAGCGTCTGCTAAATGGCATATTATATTATATATTATATATTATATTATTATATATATATTATATGTCCATAGCCACTTGTTATGGACATTTGTCTGTTATTCATTCAAGTGTTGTGATTCTCGGAGGCTGAGAAATTGGCAATTGAGCTAATCTGAGCTAATAAAATGGCCACCGATATGACCGATTTTATATGCGATATGTGCACCGGTGCCATCAGACTTTTGGCTCTAACTTTGGAATGCTATGGGCTATCAACTCAGTTCCAATTGCATCTGAAAGATGAGACTCTCAACTTGGTGTAGAGACATTACTGGAAGCTAAATATGTATTTAAATTTTTTGTATTTTTTTTTTAGTTATAGTGGCTGTCACACCCCCCAAATCTAGGGTGGCTCCAAATCTATTATCTTTTCAGGGTACATACATCTACCTCTGTGCCAAATTTGGTGCGTTTATCACAAAGTTTACAATTGAGTCCACATTTTCAGCTTAGCTGTGTACAACTAGTATACAAAAGAGAGATATATTTTTCATTCTTCTATTTGCATAGAAATCATGGTAAATTGTTTTTTTGTTGTTGTCTTTAACTAGTTGCTTGACAAAGACCTGACATTTCTGAAGGATCTTTATGACATTTTTGACCCATTGGGGTCAAAATGGAACCCTGTTGGTACTTTTAGGGTTAAGGTGTCAGTGAATGGAATGGAAGGTGTAAGTTGGATGGAATGTTCCCAGTGGGCAAAACTGGTTGCAATTAAGTATGTTGTGATGCCAAGGATGTTTATGAAATTTCTTTGTAGATGTTTTATGTACCTTAACAGTTGATCAGATCACAGGAGGAGAGCTGTACTGCTGAACTCAGGACAAGAATCTGCCACCTGGTGAAGTAAGACACATTTGCAATTGCTTTTGTTATTAGCTTGGGGATGTCTCTTTATTGCTTTATCCCTCACTATGTCTCTGTTTCTCTTTTTCTCCCTCTCCCTCTCTAGGTACTGGATTTCGGAGTTCCCGGCAGAGTTCAATCTGAACCCAGAACTGGCAGAGCAGATTAAAGACCTCAAGGACCTCTTGACCACCGAGGGGAACGAGCGCCAGAGTCAGCTCATTGACATCGACAGTGTGTAAGTGTTCCTGTTCAGTGATTTCTACCTCCACCAGCCTCCACTGGTGTGACTGTCCCCATTCTACACTAAAGTGTGTGTAGTCGGTGTGTCCTTGACTGCAGTGTGTATGTATACCCACGCTACACAGGTGTCAAGTTTATCTGCCGTATAAGAAATACTCACCAGAGCTCGAACAACAAAACAGCATTAAAAACAGCCGAAAGTTCCGAAAACCGCACATTGTTCAGATACTACAGTGCCTATGGCTGTGTTTACACAGGCAGCCCAATTCTGATATTTCTTTAAACAAATGTGTCTTTTGACCAATCAGATCAGCTCTGAAAAGGTCTGATGTGAAAAGATATATTGTGATTGGATAAAAGACCAATTAGTGGAATAAATATCAGAATTGGGCTGCCTGTGTAAACGCAGCCTTTGTGTCCACATGCTGCCTTACATGGCTCGTTCTTAGGCCAGAGGCTGGGACCTCGTGTGACAGAGCTCCTAAATGACCCGTCCTATTTCCTTTGTCTGTCTGTGGTATCCCTAGTATCCCTAGTAGTTTCATAAACATCTGCTAAGAGTTTTCTTTCTTTTATTGCATCTTCTGTACTGTCTTCTTTCCTCCATTCCACATCCATCACAGTCGTAGTTTCAGGCCCCATTGTAGAGACTAATGCAGCATGCTATATTTTGTTAGCCTGGAATGCAAACTGAATATCGCTCTGTTTCACATTTTACAAACATAGTGAAACAGAGCAAAATTCAGTTTGGATTCCAGGTTTGAGTTTTACAGTGCTTTGAAAAAGTATTCAGACCCCTTGGATTTCTTCACATTTTATTGTTGCAAAGTGGGATTAAAATGGATTTAATTGTCATTTGTTGTCAACAATAGACACAAAATATATATATTTTTAAGATTTAATATAAAATAACAAAAATATAGTCGTTGCATAAGTATTCAGTCCATTTGTTTAGTCAAGTCAAGCCTAAATTAGTTCAGGAGTTAAATTTGGCTTAACAAATCACATAAAAAGTGGACTCACTCTGTGTGAAATAAGGGGTTGACATGATTTTTAAATGACTAACCCTTCCTCTGTCCCCTATACATACATCTGTAAGGTCCCTCGGTCAAGTATTTAATTTTAAGGACAGATTCAACTACAAAGACCAGGGAGCTTTTCAAAAGCCTCATAAAAAAGGGCAGTGATTGGTAGATGGGTAACAATAACAAACTAGCCAGACACATCAAAGATACAGTCGTCCTTCTGAACTGAGCCGCAGGACAAGAAACTGCTCAGGGATGTTAGCATGAGGCCGTTGTTGATTTGAAAATGGCTACAGAGTTCAATGGCTGTGATGGGAGAGAACAAAGGATGAATCAACAACATTGTAGTGACTCTACAGTGAAAGAACAAAAATATACAAAATATAAATATTCCAAAACATGCATATTGTATGGAACAAGGCACTAAAGTAATTCTGCAAAAAAAGATGGCAAAATAATACACTTTTTGGCCTAAATGCAAAGGCCTATGTTTGGGGCAAATCCAACACAACACATCACTGAGTAACTGCATGGTTGTGGCTGCATCATGGTATGGGTATGCTTGACATTGGCAAATACTGGTTCAGTCTGCTTTACACCAGACACTGGGAGGGGAATTCACCTTTCAGCAGGATAATAGCCTACAACACAAGGCCAAATCTACACTGGAGTTGCTTACCAAGAAGACTGTGAATGTTCCTGAGTGGCCAAGTTACGGTGTTGACTTAAATCTGCTTGAAAATCTATGGCAAGACTTGAAGATTGCTGTCTAACCATGATCCCCAACATCTTAACAGAGCTTGAAGAATTTTGAAAAGCATAATAGGCAAATGTTGTACAACCCAGGTGTGCAAAGTTCTTAGACACAGCTGTAATTGCTGCCAAAGGTGTTTTCTAACATGTATGGACTCAGGGAGCTGAACACTTATGCAATGGCTATATTGTATTTTATTAGTCCACTTTGACATGACAGCATTTTGTGTAGATTGTTGACAAAAAATGACAATTAAATCCATTTTAATCCCACTTTGTAACACAAACTGGAAGACATCTGGGTTGCACCACTCCCTTTTGCCCTCAGAACAGCCTCAATTCGTCGGGGCATGGACTCTACAAGGTGTCGAAAGCGTTCCACAGGGATGCTGGCCCATGTTGACTCCAAAGCTTCCCACAGTTGCCCAATGGGTGGTGGACCATTTCTTGATACACATGGGAAACCCCAGCAGCTTTGCAGTTCTTGACACACTCATACCGGTGCGCATGGCACCTACTACCATACCCCATTCAAAGGCACTTTAATCTTTTGTCTTGCCCATTCAACCTCTGAAATGCACACATACACAATCCATGTGGACTCAATTAAAAAAAAATGTGGACTCAATTAAAAATCCTTCTTTAACCATTCTCCTCTCCTTCATCTACTAAGTGGATTTAACAAGTGACATCAATAAAGGATCATAGCTTTCACCTTGATTCACCTGGTCAGTCTGTCATGGAAAGAGCAGGTATTCTTAATGTTTTGTACACTCAGTGTATGTACTTGGGCCCAAACATGATATTGTATGCTTTTTGTCCCCCTTAGACCGTCGTACAAATGGAAGCGTCAGGTGACCCAGCGGCAACCCTCTATGTCCAAGAAAAGGAAGATGTCTCTGCTGTTTGACCACCTGGACTCCTGCGAGCTGGCCACACACCTCACCTACCTGGAGTACAAGTCCTTCTGCAAGATACTGGTAGGTGGGGCTGTGTGGAGCAGTGTGTCTGTCCACCAGATCTGGGTTCATAGTATTTGTTTTCTTTCAAATACTTAAACTTGCTCTTGATTGACCTTGCCTGGTACAATATAACTAATGGAATAGTGCCAAGTGCAAACCTCATTCACCTGTCACTCAAGGCAGACTCAATTAAACACTCATTGCTCATTAAACATGGGACTTATGTTGACTTATATTACATTTAGTCATTTAGCAGACACTCTTATCCAGAGCGACTTACAGTTAGTGAGTGCATACATTTTTCATACTGTGGGCGTAACTGCTTTTGTATTCCCACTTAATCCATTACATTTCTCTGCCCCTCTTCCAGTTCCAGGACTACCACAGCTTTGTGATGCATGGCTGCACGGTGGACAACCCCATCCTGGAGCGCTTTATCACCCTCTTCAACAGTGTGTCTCAGTGGATCCAGCTCATGGTGCTCAGCAAGCCCACTGCCCCCCAGAGGGCAGAAGTCATCTCCCACTTCATCAGGGTGGCTCAGGTACGTAGGCTGGGGCAGATTGGAGTTGGAATTTTCCTGTTATTTAATCTATTCTGAGGGAAGCTCTTAACCTGAGTGCCAGTCTATTTGTGCTATCACGTCAACTCCTTGTCACTCATTGTCATGTTTGGCTTGACGATAACAGCAATGGAGTTGGCAAGAGCACAAACAGATCTGGGACTGGGCTAGTAGGCTCTATCTCGAGGTCATAAACAAATGTAACTGGTTAATGTTATACAGTAAATGTCATTGGTTAACTTTAGGCAAATAATCCCAGTTGGTTATGGTTAGGGCAAGGGGTTGGGTCCTGGCCCACTTAGGGCAGTGCCATGATTGTTGTAAAGCCTTGTGTTAGCGGTTGAGATGAGACTGGGGAGTTCTGTCTTGGGGAGGAAAGGGAGGGAGATGTAGATATGGACAGAGATTGGATACATACCAAACTAACCTTAAGAAAAAAACGACGGTTACACTTCAGGTATTATGAACTGTATTCGTAGACAATTACTGTCCATTATTCCTTACATAAATGATCCAAGTGTGCTTATAAGTAGTGCTATTCTCTCAGTACTACTACTACCAGTGGGTGTCCCCGCTAACAGACGAGGCTATATTTGGATTTGTTAAAGAAGAATGTTTAGAGGAATGTTTGGAGTGTGCTTCCCCAATGCCACTCTCTTCTCTCTCCAAAACAAACTCTTCATGATTTATTCACTGACAACTCGGCAGGCTTCCACCCCCCCCACCCTCTCTCACCCCACCCTTTAACCCTCCTCTGCCAAATATGCCTGAGATCAAATAGCCCAGCTGGGTGCTAGAGAGCTAGTTTAGCACCCCGACTGAGTTTGTTAAAAAAACACTTTGCCACCCAAAATTTGTAGAATGAAAGATTTTTCTCGCAATTATTTTGGATGGTGATAGGAGAAAAAGACGCCCAAATCTATATGCCACCTAAAGGTTGGGTGGGTGCATTTTCCAACGCTGTGATCCTGCTACAATAAACCCCAGGGAAGGGTTACCTCCTGCTCTCATTCCTGCTCCCTCTCTCTCTTTCCCCTTTCACACCTCCCTCTCTCACTCACTCTCTGCTCATCCCTTCCAAATATAATTTGCTCTTTCCATTTTCTCTGCAGTCCTTCTCACCCATATTTTCTCTCTTTTGTCTCTCCCCTAACCTCTCTGCACAATCCATAGGCTTTTACCCATACACCCCTTTTGATTTGTCATCATTTTTATTAATTTTTTCACATGTATTTAACCAGGTAAGCCAGTTGAGAACAAGTTCTCATTTACAACTGCGACCTGGCCAAGATAAAGCAAAGCAGTGCGATAAAAACAACAACACAGAGTTACATATGGGGTAAACAAAACATAAGGTCAAAAATACAAACAGAAAATCTATATACAGTGTGTGCGAATGTAGTAAGTTATGGAGGGAAGGCAATAAATAGGCCATAGTGCAAAATAGTTACAATTTCGTATTAACACTGGAATGATAGATGTGCAAAAGATGATGTGGAAATAGAGATACTGGGGTGCAAATTAGCAAAATAAATAACAATATGGGGATGAGGTAGTTGGGTGGGCTAATTTCAGAATGGCTGTGTACAGGTGCAGTGATCGGTAAGCTGCTCTGACAACTGATGCTTAAAGTTAGTGAGGGAGATAAGTCTCCAGCTTCAGAGATTTTTGCAGTTCGTTCCAGTCATTGGCAAACCGATATGTTCTGGGTCGATAACGCACTGTGCAGACAGTGCAGACTGGCCGATAATAGTTCAAGCTAGAGCTGGCTGGTAGGTAGTGCAGGCGACGGACAATGGTGAGAAACCGCTAGCGGTGGCTAATGGCAAGTAGCTAGTTAGGTGGCTACTCCCGTCCGGTAGACAGAGAGGTAGATAACCGGGATATGGGCCTGGCTCAAGGCTAACTGGTGCTTGCTTCAGGGGCAGTGGTGATTAGCCAAACAGCAACATCCAATTCGGTTGCAGCTAGCTAGTTGCAATCCGGTGTTAATGTCCAGTGATTCAGTTATTCCGGCAGAAAATCCGATGTTCTGGGTGAAAACCGCTAACGGTTGCTAATAGCAAGTAGCTAGTTGGCTGGCTAGCTGGTATCAACTGGAGATTCTAGATAAAAGGTAAGTCAATAATAGAATCTGTTCCACATTGAGTGAGGCGGGTTGCAGGAAAGTATATTTTGTAGAAGGATGAAAAGTGTGATAAGGAAAATATGTATGAAAAATACAAAAAATACAATAAACAGGCTATTTACACAGACACACAACAAAGAACACGACCGCACTGCTATGCCATCTTGGAATGTAATGCTTGCCAGGATTTCCCATCATACATCAGATATTGTATACGTCAGTCATTATGTAGTTACTTACAACTCCCTCACACACACAGCCCTGATGCAGTACGTTACTTATCCCACACAGTGGAACGCTTCGGCATATCGACAGGATACCCTAATATTCCCTGTGTTATCGATACCTGTCACTGTTAGTCAGTGGGCTTTATACAGCAGTTTAGTAGAGCTTCCATCATGCCAGCCAGCCACTCTACCACAAAGCTTTGCCCATTGATCAGAGCGTCAGGGCAGGTATTTGAGCTTAACCAAATGATGCCCGCTGGCAGTCCTCCTGAACAGCTGGGAGCCCATTGATTTTCACTGGATGCCATGTGGGCTGAAGGGCAAAGCTTTGGCCTTGCAGAGCTCCATTTACAGAAGTATTACTGCAACTGTGACACAATGATTATAACGTGTGCTGTGCTTCCTACTGTTTGAATGGTATTATTAGACTAGACCCTATAATATTCTAGTGTAGCGCAAGCAGTGCAGCTTATTGCTTGAGGTTTGTGTGTGTGTGGGTTAGCTGGTGTGTGTATATGTGTGTGAGAGGGAGTGTGTATGTGTGACCTTCCTGGGATTTCTGTTATCTCCTGCCTTTGTGTGCCTCCAATTTCATCCAATCCCTCAAAGAGAAAATTGTCTCTCTCTCACTGTTTATAACTTGCTTACTCCTCTGGCTCATTGTCAATTGTTCCGTCTCCCTCTTCTCCTCCGTCTCTCTCGAATCCTTGTTGGCACTGGCTCTTACACCCACACGTTAGCTTCTCTTCTTCCTCCATGTCTCTCACCCCTCACTCACTCTCAGTGTTTCTCTCACCCACTGCCTCATGTCTCTCTGAATCGTTGATATTTCTTATACCTCTTCTCTGTCTCAGCCTAGGTTAGTTCATCATTTGGAGTTCAGGTAGGTCTGTGAGCTTAGCAAACAAAGGAAAGTAGGAGGGGTGCTCAACAAAAAAAAAACAGCATTTTATTTTCTCCTTATCCCCCTCCTGTCTTCTCTCTGTCGTATAGAAACTGCTCCAGCTTCAGAACTTCAACACTCTGATGGCGGTAGTGGGGGGGCTCAGTAACAGCTCTATATCTCGTCTCAAAGACACCCAGTCACACATCAGCAACGAGACCAACAAGGTGAACTAACTATGCTCATCTCATACCTTATGTACACTTTATGTTATCACTCTTCAAACAGCCTGGTGTTGTCACCACAATTACTATCTGAGAACATTAGCTCACATCATAAAACAGAAAGGATTAGTTTAAATCACAGACGGAGAGATCAGGACATCTTGTCAGTTACATGAAGGATTTGGAAAATCTACTATCACACAATGTTAATCCACACACGCTTCCCTCCCCCTCTTAACCAATCCTTCCTCTCCTCCTTCAATCATCCCTCCATCCCCCTCCTCCCTCCATCCCCTCAGGTGTTCAACAGCCTGATTGAGTTGTTGACATCTTGTGGTAACTACAGCCAGTACCGCCGCCGCTTCTCCGAGTGCACAGGCTTCCGCTTCCCCATCCTGGGCGTGCACCTCAAGGACCTGATTGCCGTGCATGTGGCACTGTCCGACTGGGCCGACCCGGGCAAGAGCAGGGTCAACCTGGCTAAGTGTCAACAGCTGTATGCCATCCTCCAGGAGCTGGCGCTGATCCAGACCACACCACCCACCATTGATTCCAACACAGACCTGCTCAATCTACTCACAGTTAGTGACACGTATACAGTGAAATATAACATGCCATATTGTATATTAAATATATTCACTGAACAAAAATATAAACACGACATGTAACAATTTCAAAGATTTTACAGAGTTACGGTTCATATAAGGAAATCAGTCAATTTAAGTAAATTCATTAGGCTCTAATCTATGGATTTCACATGACTGGGAATACAGATATGCCTCTGTTGGTCACAGATACCTTAAAAAAAAAAGGTATGGGCCTGGATCAGAAAACCAGTCAGTATCTGGTGTGCCCACCATTTGCCTCATGCAGCGAGACACAACTCCTTCGCATAGAGTTGATCAAGCTGTTGATTGTGGCCTGTGGAATGTTGTCCCACTCCTCTTCAATGGCTGTGCGAAGTTGCTGGATATTGGCGGGAACTGGAACACGCTGTCGTACACGTTGATCCAGAACATACCAAACATGCTCAATGGGTGACATGTCTGAGCATGCAGGCCATGGAAAAACTGGGACATTTCCAGCTTCCATTAATTGTGTACATGAGGTGTTGGCGGCAGATGAATGGCATGACAATGGGCCTCAGGATCTCATCACGGTATCTCTGTGCATTCAAATTGCAATAAAATGCAATTGTTTTCGTTGTCCGTAGCTTATGCCTGCCCATAATAACCGCACCGCCACCATGGGGCACTCTGTTCACAACGTTGACATCAGAAAACCGCTCACCCACACGACGCCATACACGCTGTCTGCCATCTGCCCGGTACAGTTGAAACCGGGATTCGTCTTTTGAAGGGCACACTTCTCCAGCGTGCCAGTGGTCCTCTCGAAGGTGAGCATTTTCCCACTGAAGTCGGTTACAATGCTGAACTGTAGTCAGGTCAAGGACGACGAGCACGCAGATGAGCTTCCCTGAGACTGTTTCTGACAGTTTGTGCAGAAATTGTTCGGTTGTGCAAACCCACAGTTTCATCAGCTGTCCGGGTGACGGGGTCTCAGACGATCACGCAGGTGAAGAAGCCGGATGTGGAGGTCCTGGACTGGTCTGCGGTTGTGAGGCCGGTTGGACATACTTATGGTAGAGAAATGAACATTCAATTATCTGGCAACAACTCTGGTGAACATTCCTGCAGTCAGCATGCCAATTGCACACTCCCTCAAAAAAAAAAAAAAAAAAAATCTGTGGCGTTGTGTCCCCAGCACAAGGTGCACCTGTGTAATGATCATGCTGTTTAATCAACTTCTTGATATGCCACATCTGTTAGGTGGATGGATTATCTTGGCAAAGGAGAAATGCTCACTACAGGGATGTGCACAACATCTCAGAGAACTACGCTTTTTGTGCGTATGGACAATTTCTGGGATCTTTTATTTCAGCTCATGAAACATGGGACCAACACTTTACATGTTGTGTTTATATTTTTGTTCAGTATACACTACCGTTCAAAAATGTGGGGTCACTTAGAAATGTCCTTGTTTTCGAAAGAAAAGCAATTTTCTGGTAGACATTGTTAATGTTGTAAATGGCTAATGTAGCTGATTTTTTATGGAATATCTACATAGGTATACAGAGGCCCATTATCAGCAACCATCAGTCCTGTGTTCCAATGGCATGTTGTGTTTGCTAATCCAAGTTTATCATTTTAAAAGGCTAATTGATCATTAGAAAACCCTTTTGCAATTATGTTAGCACAGCTGAAAACTGTTGTGCTGATTTAAAGAAGCAATAAAACTGGCCTTCTTGAGACTAGTTGAGTATCTGGAGCATCAGCAATTGTGGGTTCGATTACAGGCTCAAAATGGCCAGAAACAAATAACTTTCTTCTGAAACTCGTCAGTCTATTCTTGTTCTGAGAAATGAAGGCTATTCCATGCGAGAAAATACATTAGTGTCTAGTTTGAGAAACAGACGCCTCACAGGTCCTCAACTGGCAGCCTCATTAAATAGTACCCGCAAAACACCAGTCTTAACGTCAACAGTGAAGAGGCGACTGGGATGCTGACCTTCTAGGCAGAGTTGCAAAGACAAAGCCATATCTCAGACTGGCCAATAAAAAGAAAAGATTAAGGGCAGTCTGAGATATGGCTTTATGTAGATATTCCATTAGAAATCAGCAGTTTCCAGCTACAATAGCCATTTACAACATTAACAATGTCTACGCTGTATTTCTGATCAATTTGATATTATTTTAATGGACCAAAAAAATGATTTTCTTTTGAAAATAAGGACATTTCTAAGTGACCCCAAACTTTTGAACGGTAGTGTATATTCCCCACATATGGGGATGGTGGGATATATGGCTCTATGTACCGATGCATTAACACAGACCTGCTCAACCAACTTGGTTAGTGTCACATACTGTATGTAGCCTGGTCACAGATCTGTTTGGGCTGTCTTCCTAATGCCAAGCTTGCCGTGACAATGACCATAGGAGTTGGCAAGATGGCACAAACAGATCTTGGACCAGGTTAGAGCGATATGTGGATTCATATTGAAAATATATTAAATGTGTTTAAGATATATTCCCCACATGTGGGGGGGTGACATTTATTCCTTCACCCTTATTACTAATTTATCTGTTGTAGATTTAATCTGGATGTAACCAATATTTATCTGGGTTATGTCATTTAGAAACTGCTGCTCCAAGATGGCAGAAGGATGATTATTTGTTTAAAAATTATACTTTTTTTTTTACACACTGACTATATATAATCTGCCAACAAATCTCTCAAATATCTGGCAGTTATGTGTTTCAATGGTGAACTAGAGGCACACAAGGATATGCATCATTGACAATAATAGAATATAGTTATGTATGCAGGAGTTACGTTCCAAGACATTTTTTGAAACTAAAGGCTTCCCTCTTACAGTAATGCCACTGTCAATACTATCACATGACACTGTGTGAGGAAGGAGGGAGAGAGAGAGAAATACAGAAATCTACCACAAATTAATGGAATCAATGATGGCGTGTGGATAAGAGGGGGATTTTCACTCAAATGTAAGGAATAAGTTGACAGTGAAAGATTTTTTTTGTTGCCGTTGAAAGAATCTAGTGGGAGTCCAAGGATGGAGAGGGAGCTTGATGACTTAATAGACTTAATGACCTAATGCTAATTCTAATAGGTTCCAGGGGGAATCGAGAATGACTGACTACCTCAAAAAGCAATCAGATTTCTGCTAGTCATATTGATAGCCATGACTGTTCCCCTCTGTAGTAAAATGATGAAGCTTCTTTGAAAAGGCATACACTGTTAGAATGTGATATTGCCATATAATTTACTTTCCATTGTATGCCCTATCATTATGAGTCATGTGCAGTGCTTAATTTGTAAATCAGAGGTGCCGGAACTAAAAGTGAGCGGGAGAGGGGGGTGGGGAGCTCCGAGATCATATGAGATTATTTTTTTGCCTTTATAATAAAGCATTGCATGCATATCATGGCATTTGCGTAGTGGCATAGAGCAGTAGACTAGAGGCACTTACAGAAGTTGCACACATGGGGGACATTTGTAGTAGCCTAGGGTGCGGGAAAAATGTGGCCTTTTATAAATGCATTTCATGCAATTCTGCATCATTTTACATGACTTTTTTTAACACTGCACAAATTATCTAAATGACAGTCTACTTTGACACTGACAAACTGAGAATCTAAGATCAATAAAAAAGACCTTGTCTTGAATCTATCAATAGCCTAGGCCTAGGTGTGTGAAGACACACATATTGTAGGCTACAATATGAGGAGAAAATGAAAGTCCTAAAACTGCTTTCCAGTTTCACTGACTCACCCAATGATGCTCAGCTTACTCGCCGGTGATGGATGACGTGTTCGTGCCAAAAGCCTATATTTCTGTCTTGTTTTACCTTGTAAAACAATATTTGAAAGTTGAATATTTTGGTAGCCTACAGCAGACAGACTAGAGTCTTCTCTTTTCAGCAGGAGCCATTTGTTTTCCAACCTGTGTTTTCCAGCGATTGTATTTGACATTTTGGGAAAGGCCTGTTTTGTCTGCATGCTGTTCACTGACAGATTTGCCTCGCGTTCCTGACTGGATGCTATGCCTTGTTATTGGGCTACACACAATCCACAGCAATAATACAAAAAAAAGGCCTTCTCATGGTGTAGTAGGCTATTCTGAATTATTTCATTTCTTTCTGAACAGACAGCAGTAATTCTATAACTTTGGCAAATTTATTTCAATTAATCAGGGGTGCTGCGGCTCCTCCAGAACCTATGATTCTATAATGAAGTCAATTATTAAGTGCAACACTGGAGAGATGAGAGTTGCAGGCTCATTTCTATCAGAGCAGAGAGAGGGAGAGAGATCATAGAAAGTGAATCTCATTCTAGTTCGGTGAGAGATACAGGCGCGCTTCTCACACAGCCACGCGTTTGTCTCAAACAGGTTGTAATGTTGCGCAAACCATAAGCCCGGCCCAACCCGAATAAACTCTTAGAATATCAGGAAATAACTTGACAGTCATGAGTTGAAGGGTTCAATCATCATATTCACTGGCTTTGTACAGTTTATTCAACTTCAGGTTCGTTTGGATAGAAGTTAGGAGATTGAGTTAAATCAATGTGCTTGAAACCATGGCAATACGGTTCACTGTGGAGTAGCCTTCAAGTCTACCAGTCCAATATTTTTCACCTAGTTTATTATTATTATTTGATGACCTGTACAAGGAAGGTGATTCCATTATCATGTCCTTGATATGAAATAATCTCTATATTAACTTGGCGGAGAAATATGTTAGATTCCTCAGTCAGATGTGAGCGAAAACACATAACATCTATTGGGTTAGTATACCTTTTTAGCCCATTGAAATCCTTGTGTACACTGTTGGTTATTCACCCTTGTTCTATACATTTCAACTGAAAAGGAAGTAGCTCTGAGGTGAACAGGTAGTTTTAAAGTTTGGCTACTACAAAGTAATAGTATGCCTCTTAAAACAAGAATACATACTTTTTTTTTATCTCCTTCTCTCCCCTGTTGTCATGGTATCCACATGCTATATTAATAAAGTTGCCATGTGACCATGTTGCAGGTGTCTCTGGACCAGTACCACACAGAGGAGGAGATCTACCAGCTGTCTCTACAGAGAGAGCCACGCAGTGCTAAACCAGCAGTGAGTGCTATGGGCCAGGGCCCTCAGGGGCCAATAGGAAACAAATGCGTTCTTATAGCCAATAAGAAGCACATTTCTTTATTATATCTTATAGTTTATGTTTTTACAATTTATACAGGAAGTCAATGTATTCTTATAGTTTGTAGGAAACCAATGTGTTAATCTTCTCATGACATTTGAACACCCGTGTTCTCTCATGTCTTCTCATTGGTCTGGCAGAACTCTGGCCCCGCCCCCGCTCCCGCCACCAAGCCCTCGATGATTGACGAGTGGGCAGCGTCGGTGAAGCCCAAAGCCGACCCTGCGGTCATCAACAAACACATAGAGAAGATGGTGGACGTACGTTATGCTAGCTAAGTCTCTCACAGCTTGGTTGAAATAACTAATTACAAGTTGTTGAAGGGATGTTATTGGCTTGGAACATAGTAGTTATCCTCTCCACTACCCTCTTATTAATCACAACAAGTCACTGGAATGACAACCATAGTACTCTTTGTTTTGAATGTCGGATATGTTGTAATGATGTGTGTTTCCACGGTTACAGTCTGTCTTCAAGAACTTTGACATGGATGGGGATGGTCACATCTCCAGGGAGGAGTTTGAGATCATCAGGGACAACTTCCCCTACCTCAGCAAGTTTGGAGAACTGGACAAGAACCAGTGAGAGACAAAACCAGCATCTTGGCAACTGCTACCATAGGCTACATAGCAACAGTCACGTATAACTGATATTGTAACCATACTATGCGTAATAGAATCACACAGTTAGATTAGGGAAGGAGACATTATGTTGTTAATTTCTTTGTCTGTCTCTGTCTCTCTCTCAATTTAATTTAATGGCTTTATTGGCATGGGAAACGTATGTTAACATTGCCAAAGCAAGTGAAGTAGATAGTAAACAAAAGTGAAATACATATTAACAGTAAACATTACACTCAGAAGTTCCAAAAGAATAAAGACATTTCAAATGTCATATTATGTATATATACAGTGTTGTAACAATGTGCAAATAGTTAAAGTACAAATGGGAAAATAAATAAACATAAATATGGGTTGTATTTACCATGGTGTTTGTTCTTCACTGGTTGCCCTTTTCTTGCTGCTGTGGTGGCACGCTGTGGTATTTCACCCAGTAGATAAGGGAGTTTATCAAAATTGGGTTTGTTTTCGAATTCTTTGTAATCTGAGAGAAATATGTGTCTCTAATATGGTCATACATTTGGCAGGAGGTTAGGACGTGCAGCTCAGTTTCCACCTCATTTTGTGGGCAGTGTGCACATAGGCTGTCTTCTCTTGAGAGCCAGGTTTGCCTATGGCGGCCTTTCTCAATAGCAAGGCTATGCGCACTGAGTCTGTACATAGTCAAATCTTTCCTTAAGTTTGGGTCAGTCACAGTGGTCAGGTATTCTGCCACTGTACTCTCGGTTTAGGGCCAAATAGCATTCTAGTTTGCTCTGTGTTTTTGTTAATTCTTTCCAATGTGTCAAGTAATTCTCTTTTTGTTTTCTCATGATTTGGTTGGGTCTAATTGTGTTGTTGTTGTCCTGGGGCTCTGTGGGGTGTGTTTGTGAACAGAGCCCTAGGACCAGCTCTGTCTCTGTCTCTGTCTGTCTGTCTGTCTCTGTCTCACCCCCTTTCCCTCTCTCTCTCTCACCAGAGATGGGAAGATCAGCAGAGAGGAGATGATCGACTACTTCATGAAGGCCAGCTCTCTGCTCAACTGTAAGATGGGCTTCATCCACACCTTCACAGAGGCCACCTACGTCAAGCCCACCTTCTGTGAACACTGCACTGGCTTTGTGAGTACAATGTCAGTTTGACCATCTATAAATCCATCCTCACACTTATGTACAGTTTTTAACTAGATTGATTAATTGATTGACAAATGGATGCTTTTAATGCTGAAATAGTCCCTTAGTCAAAATGGCTATGGCTCTTTGAGCTTTGAATACTCACTCCAAAAGACAATTAGGTCCATATTCCCCTACTATTCCCTTTTTAAATGCATGGATTGATCAATTCATTGGTGAATGGTGAAAGAGCCCCTAGGACAGAATGGCGGGGATGGCTATGGCCACGTCACATCTGGCCCCTATGACTGTGCAGCCATTTTGTGGAAGTTCCAGACAAATTTATAATTACGACATTGGCACATTTGATTTAACCAGGAAACCCTTGAGGTTAGAAACCTATTTTTGGAGGGGGACCTGGCAAGAGGTCAGCAGGAAGTAGTCACCGTGTACATACAACACAAGAGCAAAATAAAAACCAATTACAATGGTAAATAAAATTGTCTTCCATCAGAGCTTGAAACTCAGCAAGCGATACCCTCTCCTCCAGTTCGAATTATTTTGCAGCTCGCTCCAAGACAAAGGATCATTATAGGAGAATGATCCTTTTTCCCCATTTCAGTCCTGGCCTTAGGAACCGTGACAGATAGTAGCACCTGAGAACAGATACTAACCACACGTGTCTGCATTATTATTCAGCATCATCATTGGGTCTGGTCTACACCATGCCAATTATTTGGAGATGCAGTTCTGGGATAGTGAGGTAATTGGGCTCCTTGACAAGCCCTGGGTCAAACATAATATTTTGACTTCTTCACATTTTTCAGCCACAACGCAATGAAAAAAACAAGCTGCCCAGCACCATTATGGAGTTCAGTGGCCTTTGGTGACTCAGACATATCTTCGTAATCCAACATTGTTTTAATATCTCTCTTCTGACAGCCCCCGCTGTAGTCTTATCGCATACTTAATGGAGCTAGAGCTTAAAGCTCCTTGTGAATGGGTGTCTGTACTCTCTGTGTAGTTCAAGCTGGGAGATAGAGGGTGCATCCCAAATGGCACCCTATACCCTATGTTTTACCAGGGACCTGGTCAAAAGTAGTGCACTAAATAGGAATTGGGTTCCATTTGGTACGAAGCCAGGCAGGGAGCGAGTGTTGTAATGCTCTGGGGGCTAGGGCTAGGCTATTCAAGGGGCCAGTTGTAAGATTGGTGTTTAACTCTCTATTAGGTCATGTTTGTTGAAATGAGACTTTGCCATGGGGACTCTCGAGGCCTCTTGGTGACTGGTGGGAGTTTTTGTAGTCCTCTATTGGTGTAGGAAAGGTGTCGTTTTTGAAAGGAAAGGAATTCTCTTTGAACTTATGGCTGGTAAGTGTTTTGGTGGCATTGAGGCTCTGTCTGTCCATGTGTCTGTCTGTGTGTGTGTGTGTAGGGTCAGGTTATTTTCTCTGTCCTCAGATCTCTGATGTGGCTGTGATCTCCTGGACAGGTCTTTCATGTCATTGTACCCCCGCGGTGGGCTCCTAGCGTCTGCTTGATCTCACTCCCCCACCTCCTCTTCCCTCTGCCTCTCCTCCACACCTCCCTCTGTTCCTGTACCTCCCCATCTCTTTCTACCTCTAATGCTCACTCTCTTTCTGTCACTCTTTCTCTTTCTACCTCTCGCTTTCTTTTTCTACCTGTCACTCTTTTTTCCTCTCTCTCTCTCTATACTTCCCTCTCGTTCTACCTTGCTGTCTCTCCCCACTTCCACCAGCTCCTTCTCCGCATTTGTCATCCTCTTCTCTCTCTGATCCCTGTCCCTGTCACTCTGCCCTAATCTGTCACTAGACGCCCTTCCTTGGCTTCATGTTCCAAGAATTTCATGAAGAGAAGTTACAAATTACTTTTCTCCCTCTTCCTTCTCTCACTATCGCTCTCTCTCTCTCTAGATATGGGGCTTCTACAAACAGGGATACAAGTGTAAAGGTAAGAGAATCAATACATTTAGCTAACTTGAATAGTTCAAATAGCTATGAAATAAAAAATTGATCGATTCTGCCACACTTGGCGTCATTGAATTACCAATTCCCTTTGTCATCATTGATGCAAACAATCGTCACTCGAACCAAAGGTGGCTTTGAGCTTCATGTCAACAGCATGGAAGCCATGGTAAATACATCAGACTACATTACATTACCCCCTTAAAGGGCTCCCTTTGAAAACACTTGAACAGAGCACACCGGAACATAAAATAAACCTTTGTGATTTGAGGGTCTCCATCAGGACACTGTTTGTAGAAGCTGTCTCAAGGGTAGACACATTGTAGAAACACACAGCAGACTGCATTTGAACCTGACCACCCGACAAGTGTCATCACTAGGGCCAGGAGTTTTACCATGTGAACCTGACCAGGAAACACTCCTAGCCCTAATCATTCTCACCATATCCATGGAAATATAGACAGACCGACCTTCAAGACAAATTATAATCTGTCCCCCTCACCTGCTCAAAGTCACACGGCAGACTTCCGCTAGCGCCAACCTACATTAGCATACCATTTATCTCTGTCTGTACTACACTCTGTACTCAGTAGACTGTGTCTGTCTCTCAGTCTGCATCCCAAATGGCCCTATGGGCCCTAGTCAAAAGTGGTGCTCTACGTAGGAAATAGGGTGCAGTTTGGGATGCAGCTTCAGTGTGTCTGCTCTACTCTGCTGAGGGCCTTAATGAGATGTGTGGAAGCCAATGAGAGGCCCCAGTCATTCATTTCCATTACCATTGTTAGCCCCAGTCGCTGAGTAGGAGAGACGATGGTGGAGGATAATTGAAATGAATTGGCTTGTCGCAGATGGCGTAGAACAGAAGTGCTGAGTGTCTGGCGCTCTCGTGTGTGTGTGGAGTCTGAATCAGTCTGGGTGTTATATACAGAGACATTTATCAAAGCTAACCTTCGCTGATGTGGACGTTTTACTGAAAGCGAGAGGTGTTTCGAAATCAATGAGTGAGTGAGTGCACGAATGGGAGAGTGTGTGGATAAGAGCGTCTGCTAAATGACTAAAATGTAAGTGTGTGTGTGTGAATCTGAATCTCTTTCACTGCCACCCTGGACATCCCTGCTCCCCCTTTTCTACCTACTCCAAGAGTGTCCTTCGTTGTCAGAGCTGTTGTCAGGGTCTGTCTGCATGGCAGTGTGTGTGTGTCAGTGTGTGTGCATCTGCACTGTGTGTAAGAGCACCTACCTCTCGCCACTCGCTCGTCCCTTTGCCCCAATGTTTCTTTTTGCACCCCTCCATCTCTCTTAAACGTTGCCGCTCTCTCCTCCCCATCCCTGATCTCTCAACCCTCCTTTACCTTGCACTCGTTCCCTCCAACTCTTTCTCCCTCCCGGTCTAAACCGGCATTCTTCCCTCGTTCCTTCTTATCTTCCTCTCCCCTATCTCTCTCCCTCTTTCTCTCCCTGTCCCCCCCCCTCTCTGAATTATTCTCCCCCTCCCCCTCTCTCTCCCCCCATCTCTCCCTCCTTCGGACAGCTTGTGGAATTAACTGTCACAAGGCGTGTCAAGGTCGTCTGGCAGTGGAGTGTCGTAAACGGACCAAGAGCATCAGCCACGAGCACGCACCCTCTCTCCAGGCCCGCTCCTACAGCTTCCCCCCTCCGGCCAACACCCCACCCAGCCTACAGAACACAGGTGAGGAACCCCCCCCCCCCCCCTTCAACCTCCAATCTGGTTCTACTAATACTATTGCCCACATCTCACCACGATTCTTCAGATTTTGTGTTTCTCAAGAACCAGTAGCATCATACTTCAACCAGGTAGTCTTTACAGAAGGTTATGAGATGGAATGGTACAGTATGTTTTAGGGCTGACCCAAATTAGTCGACTGATTGATTGTTTGGTCGACAGGCTGTTGGTTGATGTAGTTGATTGTTTGGTCGACAGGCTGTTGGTCGATGGAGATTTAAAAACATTTGTCGAGCAGTAGTATACTGTGTGTGTATATACATTATGTATGTATATACTTTTATATATGTGTGTGTGTGTGTGTGTGTACAGTGCATTCGGAAAGTATTCAGACCCCTTCACTTTTTCCACATTTTGTTACATTACAGCCTTATTCTAAAATGGATTAAATATTTATTTATTACTCATCAATCTACACACAATACCCCATAATGACAAAGCAAAAACAGGTTTTTAGAATTGTTTGCAAATTTACTAAAACAAAAAAAAACTATCACATTTACATAAGTATTCAGACCATTTACTCAGTACTTTGTTGAAGCACCTTTGGCAGCGATTACAGCCTCGAGTCTTCTTGGCACACCTGTATTTGGGGAGTTTCTCCCATTCTTCTCTACAGATCCTCTCAAGCTCTGTCAGGTTGGATGGGGAGCGTTGCTTATTTACATAAGTATTCAGACCCTTTGCTATGAGACTCAAATTTGTGCTCAGGTGCATCCTGTTTCCATTGATCATCCTTGAGATGTTTCTACAACTTGATTGGAGTCCACCTGTGGTAAATTTGATTGCTTGGCGCACACACCTGTCTATATAAGGTCCCACAGTTGACAGGATTTTGTTGAGGCACAGATCTGGGGAAGGGTACCAAAGCATTTATGCAGCATTGAAGGTCCCCAGGAACACAGTGGCCTCCATCATTCTTAAATGGAAGAAGTTTGTAACCACCAAGAATCTTCCTAGAGCTGGCCGCCCAGCCAAACTGAGCAATCGGGGGAGAAGGACCTTGGTCAGGGAGGTGACCAAGAACCAGATGGTCACTCTGACAGAGCTTCAGAGTTCCTCTGTGGAGATGGGAGAACCTTCCAGAAGGACAACCATCTCTGAAGCACTCCACCAATCAGGCCTTTATGGTAGAGTGGCCAGACGGAAGCCACTCCTCAGTAAAAGGCACATGACAGCCCACTTGGAGTTTCCCAAAAGGCGCCTAAAGGACTCTCAGACCATGAGAAACAAGATTCTCTGGTCTGATGAAACCAAGATTGAACTCTTTGGCCTGAATGCCAAGCGTCACGTCTGGAGGAAACCTGGCAACATCCCCATGGTGAAGCTGTGGGGATGTTTTTCAGCGGCATGGACTGGGAGACTAGTCAGGATCGAGGCAAAGATGAACAGAGCAAAGTACAGAGAGATCCTTGATGAAGACCTCAGACTGGGGCGAAGGTTCACCTTCTAGCAGGACAAAGACCCTAAGCACACAGCCAAGACAACGCAGGAGTGGCTTCGGGAAAAGTCTCTGAATGTCCTTTAGTGGCCCAGCCAGAGCCCGGACTTGAACCCGATCGAACATCTCTGGAGAGACCTGAAAATAGCTGTGCAGTGACGCTCCCCATCCAACCTGACAGAGTTTGAGAGGATCTGCAGAAAATGGGAGAAACTCCCCAAATACAGGTGTGCCAAGCTTGTAGCGTCATACCCAAGAAGACTCGAGGCTGTAATCGCTGCCAAAGGTGCTTCAACAAAGTACTGAGTAAAGGGTCTGAATACTTATGTAAATGTGATAAACCTGTTTTTGCTTTGTCATTATGGGGTATTGTTTGTACATTGATAAGGGAAAAAACGATTTAATCCATTTTAGAATAAGGCTGTAACGCGACAAAGTGGAAAAGGTCAACGGGTCTGAATACTTTCTGAATGCACTGTATATTTAGGTGCAGGAGCTCCACAATACTTTTGAGCTAATATTCTATAGGAGGAACAGGAGCTCAAGCAGTAGAACATTTTAGGTGTCGGTACTCCGCTCCGGTGAGCTCCTGCCTAAGTCAAGCACTGCTTCTTATCCATTGCGCAAATAACCTAGACTACACTTGTGTGTCTGGAGCGCACTGGCATGGGAAACTCTGAGGGCCCAGAATATTTTATACAATGTTGCAAGTTCGCTAGCACAAGCTTCGGGCCGGACCCAGTTAATAGTTTGTAGGCTATTTTTTACATAGTTTGCAATGGCAATAGAAGTTACTTTTTAGGTTTGTATCATTTTCATTTGGATAGAATGTTTATTAACCACATGACAATGATTTTGAGATATGAAGAAGTTTATTATAAATTAAATTAAACTGTTCCATGAAAATGTGCATATGAATAACTGGCACACAGATCGGTATATTTTTATTAATGCCAATGCTGTTTTCTAGGCTTGTTTTCGCTTAATACTTTGGGATAATGGTGCTCTGTCGGATTTGATGAGGGTTGCCAGAGTAAAAAGCTGTATTTCTCTGGGTTTTTTTGTGGTATTGATGAAGGTATTTGATTGGGGAATGGGGATACATTTTCATGATGGAAAATGAATTTCTCAATAAATGTGGAGAAACAGAAGACCTGCAAAAAAAATCAGTTTTGGTTTAAATTCCCCTGGTACCAACTGCATGGTATTTGCAACTATAACGTGTCTGGTCTATGATCAATTAAGCCATATCAATGCAGTTCAACAGGTTAATGTAAATAATGAATTATGTTGGCTTACACTCCAAGGCTGTTTCATTATGATTATTACGGTCGTGTCAATCATGTTATATACTTAAGCTATTGTAACAAGGCATATGTCAGCATTGTAGGCCTACTGCCTCTGCCCAGAGGACTACTTTCATGGCAACAGCCGTTAGAGCTCACTTTGCCACGTATGAGCCCTGGTTAGAGTCCCTGTTGTAGCGGAAGAAAGTAAAAGCTGCATTGGTGGCAGCGTTGGGATCGCGTCCAGCTCACGTCTAGTTATGTGATCTAGTGGTGGGAATAGGGCTGTTGCAGTGACCATATTACCGCCACACCGGCGTTCACAAGTCATGAAGACAGTCAAATTCCACATGACCGTTTAGTCACAGGAATTAGGCTTCTCCAAGCTCTGATGCTGCTCATGGTCATTAGTAGCCTACCAAACTTGCTAACTGCCTGGTACTCAGCACTCTATTGGCCCTCTAATGACTCTGACATCAATGCAAATGTATTCAAAAATCGAATCAAACACATCATGAGAGCCCATGAGCTCATGTTGCGCAACATTTCTATAGGCTATGCAATTGCGTGAGAAAACAGAGTGATGGCCTCTACTAAATAGAGGAGGATCCCATCAGCTTTCTATAGGCTAGGCCTACTATTTATTTCTCAACTTTCCTAATATTAAGCACATTGCTTATCTTTACAACAGGAGTATAGCCTACATGGAAATGAATCACGGGAAAAGCATCCTCCATCCGCTATTTAAGTGCATTGATTATATGTATTTTTTCCGCGGCCCCTGTTTCGAGACAGATGCATGATAATGGTCCATTCTAAATTAAAACAAATTTCATATTTAGTATATGTAAAGACAAGATTAAATCAAGAATAGTCTGATGGGTGACAATATTAGCCTATCACTTATGAATGATATATTATCATTATATTAAGCAGCGTGTGAGTTTCAAGTTTGGGGAAGATAATTTTCACCATTAAAAACGCATCTTTATAATAAAAGCATTACATGCATAATCGCATTTGCGGTCACATTTGATAATGGCGTTTTCCCGCTAATGGAACATTCCCGCTTATAGCCTAATGCCATGTGCGCATTGCTGCGCTCATAATGTGAAGAAATAGCCTAATTCTATATCAACATTTTAAGCTAAACGTTCTGATCTGTTGTGTCAGCCACATTGCGTTAAAGTTTTTTTGATGCTAGTGGTTGTATTAATTTGGTATCTTTTGCATCCTACAACTGTCCCAGACTATGTTTGGAATATTTATTTCTCGCACAGAATAGGTCAACCTTTGTACTATGGGGGATAGTAGATTGACATATGCTAGTGCTTTTGCTGTTCGTTAGGCCTACTCATCTTGTTGGCTGACAAAAAGTAAATGTGGACAGTTCTTCCAATATCTTCAATATATGCACCTCGGAATTGGATAAGGACATGCGCAGTTGCGTCCCCGATGTGTCTGTCTTCACTTGTAGCCTGTGAGAAAGACCCGATCACGTGATGGAGCACGTGCAGCACTCAGTGAGCACTTCGGAGCGCGCACTCAGGGAGAAGGGCACAACAAAGGCATGGATTTTTTTAGGGTGCATTATGGCCACAAAGGGGATGCTGCCGTGAAGTTCGAGGCATTATCAAGTGCTTGTCAAATTGTGAATGAGAAGTGTGTACAGCCTGCACAAAAAACAAAGCAGAGCTCATGCCTTTCAAGCAACTTTTTTTCAAATCATCATTAGCGTCGCATCATGCAGCTTTTTAAAATGTATAAAAAATCTAAACATATAGCCCAACGTTTGTAGAACTGAAGTTACATTAACTCTAAATTAAGCATACAGTGAGGGAAAAACGTATTTGATCCCTTGCTGATTTTGTACGTTGCCCACTGACAGACATGATCAGTCTATACTTTTAATGGTAGGTTTATTTGAACAGTGAGAGACAAAATATCAACAACAAATATCCAGAAAAACGCATGTCAAAAATGTTATTTTTTACATTTACGTCCTTTAGCAGACACTCTTATCCAGAGCGACTTACAGGAGCAATTAGGGTTAAGTGCCTTGCTCAAGGGCACATCGACAGATTTTTCACCTAGTCGGCTCAGGGATTAGAACCAGCGACCTTTCGGTTACTGGCACAATGCTCTTAACCACTAAGCTATTTGCATTTGAATGAGGGAAATAAGTATTTGACCCCTCTGCAAAACATTACTTAGTACTTGGTGGCAAAACCCTTGTTGGCAATCAGAGGTCAGACGTTTCTTGTAGTTGGCCACCAGGTTTGCACACATCTCAGGAGGGATTTTGTTCTACTCCTCTTTGCAGATCTTCTCCAAGTCATTAAGGTTTCGAGGCTGACGTTTGGCAACTCGAACCTTCAGCTCCCTCCATATTTTTTCTATAGGATTAAGGTCTGGAGACTGGCTAGGCCATTCCAGGACCTTAATGTGCTTCTTCTTGAGCCACTCCTTTGTTGCTTTGGCCGTGTGTTTTGGGTCATTGTCATGCTGGAATACCCATCCACTACCCATTTTCAATGCCCTGGTTGAGGGAAGGAGGTTCTCACCCAAGATTTGATGGTACATGGCCCCGTCCATCGTCCCTTTGATGCGGTGAAGTTGTCCTGTCCCCTTAGCAGAAAAACACCCCCAAAGCATAACGTTTCCACCTCCATGTTTGACGGTGGGGATGGTGTTCTTGGGGTCATAGGCTGCATTCCTCCTCCTCCAAACACGGCGAGTTGAGTTGATGCCAAAGAGCTCGATTTTGGTCTCATCTGACCACAACACTTTCACCCAGTTCTCGTCTGAATCATTCAGATGTTCATTGGCAAACTTCAGACGGCCCTGTATATGTGGTTTCTTGAGCAGGGGGACCTTGCGGGCGCTGCAGGATTTCAGTCCTTCACGACGTAGTGTGTTACCAATTGTTTTCTTGGTGACTATGGTCCCAGCTGCCTTGAGATCATTGACAAGATTATTCCGTGTAGTTCTGGGCTGATTCCTCACCAATCTCATGATCATTGCAACTCCACGAGGTGAGATCTTGCATGGAGCCCCAGGCCGAGGGAGATTGAATGGTCTTTTGTGTTTCTTCCATTTGCGAATAATCGCACCAACAGTTGTCACCTTCTCATCAAGCTGCTTGGCGATGATCTTGTAGCCCATTCCAGCCTTGTGTAGGTCTACAATCTTGTCCCTGACATCCTTGGAGAGCTCTTTGGTCTTGGCCATGGTGGAGTTTGGAATCTGATTGATTGATTGCTTCTGTGGACATGTGTCTTTTATACAGGTAACAAGCTGAGATTAGGAGCACTCCCTTTAAGAGTGTGCTCCTAATTTCAGCTCATTACCTGTATAAAAGACACCTGGGAGCCAGAAATCTTTCTGATTGAGAGGGGGTCAAATACTTATTTCCCTCATTAAAATGCAAATCGATTTAACATTTTTGACATGCGTTTTTCTGGATTGTTTTGTTGTTATTCTGTCTCTCACTGTTCAAATGAACATACCATTAAAATTATAGACTGATCATTTCTTTGTCAGTGGGAAAACATACAAAATCAGCAGGGGATCAAATACTTTTTTTCCTCACTGTGTCTCCAGCTTCAGAGATTTTTGCAGTTCGTTCCAGTCATTTGCAGCAGAGAACAGGAAGGAATGGCGACCAAAGGAGGTGTTGGCTTTGGGGATGACCAGTGAGATATACCTGCTGGAACGCATACTATGGGTAGCTGTAGCAAGCAGCAACAGTGAGAGACTTATTTCTGGAAAGGTGGATTTTTAGAAGTAGAAGCTCAAACTGTTTGGGCACAGACCTGGATAGTATGATAGAGCTCTGCAGGCTCTCTCTACAGTAGATTGCAACTCCGCCCCCTTTGGCAGTTCTATCTAGATGGAAAATGTTGTAGTTGGGAATCGAAATGTCAGAATCTTTGGTGGCCTTCCTAAGCCAGGATTCAGACACTGCTAGAACATCAGGGTTGGTGGAGTGTGCTAACGCAGTGAATAACTCAAACTCAGGGAGGAGGCTTCTGATGTTAACATGCAAGAAACCAAGGCTTTTACGGTTACAGAAGTCAACAAATGATAGCGCCTGGGGAGCAGGAGTGATACTGGGGGCTACAGGGCCTGGGTTAACCTCTACATTACCAGAGGAACAGAGGAGGAGTAGAATAAGGATACGGCTAAAGGCTTTAAGAACTGGTCTTCTAGTGCGTTGGGTACAGAGAGAAAAAGGGGCAGATTTCTGGCCGTTGTAGAATAGATTCAGGGCATTATGTACAGACAAGGATATGGAAAGATATGAGTACAGTGGAGGTAAACCTAAGCGTTGGGTAATAATGAAAAAGAGAGCATCACTGGAGGCACCGATTGAGCCGGTCTCCGCGTGTGTGGGGGGTGGGACAAAGGAGCTATATGTGACAGGTTGAGCAGGACTGGGGGCTCTACATTGAAAAAGTACAATTAGAACTAACCAAAACAGCAATAGGCATGGCATATTGACATGGGAGAGAGGCATAAAGCAGTCACAGGTGTTATTCGAGAGAGCTAAGACAACAGCTGGTAATGGCGACGAAAGTTTGAGCTGAGGCTAAACAGATAAACAGGATGGGGTACCGTATAAAGGAACAGTCCAGCAGGCATCAGCTGTGTAGCTGAGTGATCCTAAGGTCCAGTGAACAGCAATAAGTAAGTCCGGGAGCAGTTCAGTGGCTGCTATGCTACAGGCGAGCTGGAGGCACGGCTGTTGATTGCGTGTGCTAGCGGGCCGGGGCTAGCAGATGGATCTTCGTGGTCGTCGCAACGGGAAGCCTGTTGAAACCACATCAGACGATAAAGTCGGCAGACCAGTCGTGATGGATCGGCGGGGCTCCATGTCAACACTAGGAGGTCCCATCCGGTGGACAGAGGGGTAGATAGCCGGGAGATGGGCCTGGCTCGAGGCTAGCTCAAGGCTAACTGGGGTTAGCTTCAGGACAGTGGTGATTAGCCAACAACGACAACAGCCATTCGGTTGCAGCTAGCTAGTTGCGATGATCCGATGTTAAGGTCCAGTGATTCCGGCAGAAAATCAGATATGCTCTGGCTCGATAGCGCGATGTGCAGACTGGCCAATAATTGTCCAGGCTAGAGCTGGCTTGTAGGTAGTGCAGGCCACGGCCACGGACAATGGTGAAGACCGCTAACGGTGGCTAATAGCAAGTAGCTAGTTAGCTGGCTAGTAGGCTAGTTTCAGCCAGAGGTTCTGGATAAAAATGTATGAAGAAATAATAGAATCCGTTCCACATTGGGTGAGGCGGGTTGCAGGAAAGTTAAAGGATGGAAAGTGAGATTGAGAAATATATACGAAAAAAAACTAAACAAAAAAACCTTCTATTTACATGAGGATACTACTGAAAACACGACCGCACTGCTATGCCATCTTGCTATATCTAGTGAACAATGGATAAGCAACAATAGGCATGACGGAAAGAAGTAGTCACTACAGGTGTGATCAAGCCTTACTTCAAAGTTGCCTGAAGCTAAATGGAAAGTGCTATGCCCTGACCAGTTATTCAGAAGAAAATCCTCTGATTTGTTAATTTACATAAGTTAACTTACCAGTAATATTAATCACTGTTGATCCATCCTGTTCTGATCTAATGAGATGGATGTAGGATTTTCTACAGCCTAGAATCGAGGCCTTTCCCAGTCATGAAGGACAAAGATAGGCTGGTTGGTTCTCATTGGCGAAGACTGAAATCAAGTTAGGGGTTATACATTGGGGAGAACAAGTATTTGATACACTGCCGATTTTGCAGGATTTCCTACTTACAAAGCATGTAGAGGTCTGTCATTTTTTATCACAGGTACACTTCAACTGTGAGAGATGGAATCTAAAACAAACAAAAATCCAGAAAATCACATTGTATGATTTTTAAGTAATTAATTTTCATTTTATTGCATGACATAAGTATTTGATACATCAGAAAAGCAGAACTTAATATTTGGTACAGAAACCTTTGTTTGCAATTACAGAGATCATACGTTTCCTGTAGGTCTTGACCAGGTTTGCACACACTGCAGCAGGGATTTTGGCCCACTCCTCCATACAGACCTTCTCCAGATCCTTCAGGTTTTGGGCTGTCACTGGGCAATACAGACTTTCAGCTCCCTCCAAAGATTTTCTATTGGGTTCAGGTCTGGAGACTGGCTAGGCCACTCCAGGACCTTTAGATGCTTCTTACGGAGCCACTCCTTAGTTGCCCTGGCTGTGTGTTTCAGGTCGTTGTCATGCTGGAAGACCCAGCCACGACCCATCTTCAATGCTCTTACTGAGGGAAGTTGGTTGTTGGCCGCGATACATGGCCCCATCCATCCTCCCCTCAATACGGTGCAGTCGTCCTGTCCCCTTTGCAGAAAAGCATCCCCAAAGAATGATGTTTCCACCTCCATGCTTCACGGTTGGGATGGTGTTCTTGGGGTTGTACTCATCCTTCTTCTTCCTCCAAACACAGCGAGTGGAGTTTAGACCAAAAAGCTCTATTTTTGTCTCATCAGACCACATGACCTTCTCCCATTCCTCCTCTGGATCATCCAGATGGTCATTGGCAAACTTCAGACGGGCCTGGACATGCGCTGGCTTGAGCAGGGGGACCTTGCGTGCGCTACAGGATTTTAATCCATGACGACGTAGTGTGTTACTAATGGTTTTCTTTGAGACTGTGGTCCCAGCTCTCTTCAGGTCATTGACCAGGTCCTGCCGTGTAGTTCTGGGCTGATCCCTCACCTTCCTCATGATCATTGATGCCCCACGAGGTGAGATCTTGCATGGAGCCCCAGACCGAGGGTGATTGACCGTCATCTTGAACTTCTTCCATTTTCTAATAATTGCGCAAACAGTTGTTGCCTTCTCACCAAGCTGCTTGCCTATTGTCCTGTAGCCCATCCCAGCCTTGTGCAGGTCTACAATTTTATCCCTGATGTCCTTACACAGCTCTCTGGACTTGGCCATTGTGGAGAGGTTGGAGTCTGTTTGATTGAGTGTGTGGACAGGTGTCTTTTATACAGGTAACGAGTTCAAACAGGTGCAGTTAATACAGGTAATGAGTGGAGAACAGGAGGGCTTCTTAAAGAAAAACTAACAGGTCTGTGAGAGCCGGAATTCTTACTGGTTGGTAGGTGATCAAATACTTATGTCATGCAATAAAATGCAAATTAATTACTTAAAAATCATACAATGTGATTTTCTGGATTTTTGTTTTAGATTCCGTCTCTCACAGTTGAAGTGTACCTATGATAAAAATTACAGACCTCTACATGCTTTGTAAGTAGGAAAACCTGCAAAATCGGCAGTGTATCAAATACTTGTTCTTCCCACTGTATGTCAGACTGTCCTATTGCTGCTGACATTGAACATAGCTTAGGTTTAGGGTATTTAATTCATTTCAGACTCTCCTATACCACTATTCCCAACATGTTATACCCCATAGGTTGTAAATAAACCCTTTTTAAGGTGATATAACTTTATCATTATTAGAGGGCTGTGAAGCCCATAACCGAATGGCTTCAGACTGAGCATTTCTCACCATTTATTTATGGAGAGCAATATCTGTTTTATAACAGGTAGTGTCCATTTATATACAGTAGTGTGTTGATTAATACAAAATTGACATAGCCTTGTATTAAATGCATTATGAAGAAAATTGTCTACTGTTGTCTACACAAAAAAAGGGCCTTTCTGACTACAAGTGCACCAGTATCCCAAAGTATTAAGTGAAAACAAGCATAGAAAACAGTATTGGCATAAGGCTACTATTATATTATAATTATTTCGGTGACAACCTGGTTGATTAACAATATTGGGTTGTTGGCATGCATTGCTCTAACTTTCAAAAGATTGTTTAAAGAACAAGTTTGCCCCCCCAAAAAATGTATTTTCCTACGAATTAAGTCACACAACAATGTGTGTCTTTTCACACAAATTAAACCACACAGGGGCGGCAGGAAGCTTAGTGGTTAAGAGCGTTGTGCCAGTAACCGAAAGGTCGCTGGTTCTAATCCCCGAGCCGACTAGGTGAAAAATCTGTCTGTGCCCTTGAGCAAGGCACTTAACCCTAATTGCTCCTGTAAGTCCCTCTGGATAAAAGCTTCTACTAAATGACTTTAAAAAGCAAAAATAAATGCATGAAATCTGCTGAAATACTTTTTGTACATATTTGCACGAATTGAGTGTGAGATTGTGTTGACCATTAGCATTTAGTTCAAATAATTGTTTGACGATCCCTTTGTCATTCTGTCATGCTGCCTTTTCAATGTGTTCTGTGTCTCGCTTTGCAATGTGTTCTGTCTCTCCACAAATAGTTGTGCAAAAATCACTGCAACGTGTGACGAGCGGATGAATCATACATCCAGGCACAATTAAACCGCTTGGAAATGCATGGTTCCCTCTGTATACCACTGTGTTATAGAAGGATATTTTTTTAGTTGTATGCTGTTCAGCAATGCCCTTGTCTAATGGAGTATGCAATGCTATTAATGGGTGTAAGAGCCAGCAGACTATATAGCAGGTAACCATGGACACTCTCTCGCTCTTCCTCTCTCACGCTCCCTCTTTCTCGCGCTCCTTCGCTTGCGCTCCCTCGCGCTTCCTCTCTTGCTCTTTTCGTTCATGGGAAATGGTCCTCTGTAGCTCAATTGGTAGAGCATGGCGCTTGTAACGCCAAGGTAGTGGGTTCGATCCCCGGGACCACCCATACGTAAAAATGTATGCACACATGACTGTAAGTCGCTTTGGATAAAAGCGTCTGCTAAATGGCATATTATTATATTATTTACATTGCCAAAGCAAGTGAAATAAACAATCACAAATTGACAGTTAACATTAAGCACACAAGTTTCAAAAGAGAAAGAAGTATGAAACGTTTTTCTTAACTATCAACAGTGTTGTTACAATGTTCAAATAGTAGAAGTACAAATGGAAAGGGAAAATAAATATAGCTTTTTGCACTTTACTAATCGCAACAGGTCACACATTTTGCTGCGATGAATGCAAACTGTGGTATTTCACCTAATTTGTTCCCTGATTATTTTGGGGTCCTTGTAATCTGAGGGAAATATGAGTCTCTTATATTGTTGTACATTTGGCAGGACATTACGAAGTGCAGCTCAGTTTCCACCACATTTTGTAGGCATTGGGCCATGGACTGTCCGTTTTATAGCCAAATATCATTCAAGTTTACTTTGAGAATGGTTAATGTTTTCCCAATAGGTAATATAATTGTATTTTTGTTTGGTTATAATTTGGTTGGACCAGATTGTCTGAGTGCTGTCCTGAGGTTTTGTTGGGTTGGTAGTGGTTAATGAACTTAGCCTCAGGACTAGCTGGATGAGGGGACTTTTGTCTATTTTCATCTCTTGGCATTTCAGGGCTTTGTAGTGGTAGGAGTGGGAGGTCTCTTGTTTTTAGGTGGTTATAGAATTTGATGGGTCGTTTTGGGGTATGAATTAGTGATGGATATTGGCCTGCCTGCGTGCGTTATTATTATTATTATTATTATTATTATTATTTCTCTTTTTTTCCTCCCTCCTTCTCACTCAGTGATTGTAGAGGAAGACCTAGAGGAAGTGGAGGAAGGCATGATTGATATCCATCTATAACCAGGTGAGAAGGACATTGTTTCCTCTTCCCCAACCCTAGCATACCCAATACGCAGGCCTGGCCTATGATATCTGCAGTGCATTCGGAAAGTATTCAGACCCCTTCACTTTTTCAACATTTTGTTACGTTACAGCCTTATTCTAAAATGTATTACATTGTTTTCCCCCCACAATCTACACACAATACCCCATAATGACAAAGCAAAAACAGGTTTTTAGACATTTTTGCAAATTTAAATATAACCCCCCCCCTGAAATATCTAATTTACATAAGTAATTCAGACCCTTTACTCAGTACTTTGTTGAAGCACCTTTGGCAGCGATTACAGCCTCACATCTTATTGGGTATGATGCTACAAGCTTGGCACACCTGTATTTGGGGAGTTTGGCCCATTCTTCTCTGCAGATCCTCTCAAGCTCTGTCAGGTTGGATGGGGAGCGTCGCTGCACAGCTATTTTCAGGTCTCTCCAGAGATGTTCGATCGGGTTCAAGTCTGGGCTCTGGGCTGGGCCGCTCAAGGACATTCAGAGACTTTTCCCGAAGCCACTCCTGCGTTGTCTTGGCTGTGTGCTTAGGGTCGTTGTCCTGTTGGAAGGTGAAACTTCGCCTCAGTCTGAGGTCCTGAGCTCTCTGGAGCAGGTTTTCATCAAGGATCTCTCTGTACTTTGTTCCGTTCATCTTTCCCATGATCCTGACTAGTCTCCCAGTCCCTGCCGCTGAAAAACATCCCCACAGCATGATGCTGCCACCACCATGCTTCACCGTAGGGATGGTATTGGCCAGGTGATGAGTGGTGCCTGGTTTCGTCCAGACGTGACGCTTGGCATTCAGGCCAAAGAGTTCAATCTTGGTATCATCAGACCAGAGGATCTTGTTTCTCATAGTCATTGTCCTTTAGGTGCCTTTTGGCAAACTCCAAGCGGGCTGTCATGTGCCTTTTACTGAGGAGTGGCTTCCGTCTGGCCACTCTACCATAAAGGCCTGATTGGTGGAGTGCTGCAGAGATGGTTGTCCTTCTGGAAGGTTCTCCCATCTCCACAGAAGAACTCTGAAGCTCTGTCAGAGTGACAATCTGTTTCTTGGTCACCTCCCTGACCAAGGCCCTTCTCCCCTGATTGCTCAGTTTGTCCGGGCGGCCAGCTTCAGGAAGAGTCTTGGTGGTTACAAACGTCTTCCATTTTAAGAATGATGGAGGCTACTGTGTTCTTGGGGACCTTCAATGTTGCAGAAATGTTTTGGTACCCTTCCCCAGATCTGTGCCTCGACACAATTCTGTCTCGGAGCTCCACGGACCTCATGGGACCTTTTATATAGACAGGTGTGTGCCTTTCCAAATCATGTCCAATCAATTGAATTTACCACAGGTGGACTCCAATCAAGTTGTAGAAACAACTCAAGGATGATCAATGGAAACAGGATATACCTAAGCTCAATTTCGAGTCTCATAGCAAAGCTTCTGAATACTAATGTAAATAAGTTATTTATGTTTTTATTTTTAGTAAATGTGAAATAAAATATTTTTTCGCTTTTTCATTATGGGGTATTGTGTGTAGATTGATGAGATTTTTTTAATGGTTTATTCCTTCTCAATAAGGCTGTAACAATACAAAAAGTGAAGGTTCTGAAAACTTTCCGAATGCACTGTACCTTCAGCCATTCTGTAATTACTAAAATGGTCAAACTTTGTCGGCCCATTAGCCAATGACTTAAGTAGCCTAATGTGATTTCAATGAACAATCATTTGAGGTGTTCAAGTACCGGTAGTCGGATTGAATGACTCTTCTCTTTTGATTACTTTCCTAGAAGTATGCATTCAGCCAAATACAGCTGGGAGGAAACAACAGCAGTTGTGAGCCAGAAGCACAGCCTACTATGGCGTCTGGAGTCTGTTTAGAAGGGTACAATGTTAGAGAATGTTGCAGATAGAAATATGTCATCTAGAACATATGATTGTCTGTCATATAAAAGAGGAAATCGTGTCTGCTCTATTCATTCCATTTCTATATGAAACGTTTGACTGTCTCAGATAGAAATCCATTACGTAGAGCAGATAAGATTGTCTGTCGTGTAGAAGAGGGAATGGTGTCAGCTCTATTAATTCCATGTCTATCTGCAATGTTCAGCGTGTTTCACATCACTGACTGAAAACACACCTGGTGACTTCCAGAGAGAGAGAAGAAATTGTGCTGAACACAACACGGGAAACCTACATGCTGTCACATGGTGGACAAAAACTGCAACTGCATACCTTCAAGCGCTCAAGACTTCTTCCTCTGTGTATCTCAACTCCCTTTAAACAAGTGAATGTCTTTCTATGTTAAATCTGCATTTTAGATTCTGGATATGGGCCCATGTTTTCATATCTCTTACCTAGTTTTAAACGCTGAATATAGAAAAAAATGCACATAATTGTATTTTCAGGGTAGAGATGTTAGTGTAATGTTATTGCCTCCAAGTGTAAGTGTTGTATTTTCAGTGCATTTAGCTGTACGTTATTCTGTATTAATAACCTAAACGATGTCTCTCTAAAATACAAGAGGTGCTGTTATTGCCAAGAAAGAATGTATAGGCTACATGCCACCTAGACTTCCGTCTTCTGTTTCTGAGAAAGCGTTGCTTTGTCTTAGTAGTTTGTCATCTTGTTTATAGTGAATTTTATGAGAGAAATTTAAAACACCATGTGTTCGATGTCTGAGATGAAATGTTTTAGCTCCAGATCTGCATTCATGGATTGGGCATCTCACTTGGATCTATCTCAACAGCAACAACAACAATAACATCAACAACTCAAATGGACTGTGGAACACCCCAGAATTTGAATAGTATTTGAATGCTGTTGTATTTCCCACCCTCATGTTACCTGAATATTAATGACTGTCCTATGGTAATTTGACTGTGGTGCGTACAGTATGGTATACGGTTCTGTCTCAGTGCATGGGCCACAGTACCTTTACTCTCTAACTTTGAATGTAGTTTGAAACAGTGAATATTATATATCGCCCTGAGATTTTAGCTCTATTTTATTATGAGATGTTAAAGACTACTGTTTTATCCTCCTGAGACCAGCAAAAAAAGGGATGAAAAAGGGGTGTTTGCAGTTTTTAAAAAAATATTACGAAAATAATTTGAACAAATATTTTGTTTTATTTTATTTGCACTGTAGTGGATATAATCGGTTGCTAGTAAATATGGAACATTACACTAAATGGGTACAGTAGGTGAAAAGCATCGTTTTGATGTCCACTACAGAGGACATTAATGAACAAGCTCTTATTGTTTATTTATTTTTTAACCAGGGACAAAGTTATCAAGGTCACACCCTCATACATGTGATATCATTGAAAATCCAAGAATGTCCTCTCAAAGGTAGAACAGGACATAAAGTAACTGACCGTGATTCCAGATTTCTATGAAATATGACCTATAATTACTTACAATATGAGTAAAATAGTTTTCCTTAAAAAAAAATGTAATTAAGTATGTTAAAAATAAGCTTTTATGTGTTAGAATAGTGTGGGCATTTACCGGTCATTAAAAATATGAATGAACATAGCTCGTTGATTGGCCAGCTCATCTTCCTCAGGAGTATGACATCATACGCTGAGGAAATAGCATGCATTTTTTAAATGGTCTGTTTGAGATCAATTTAAGGTGGGGTTTTTGAAGTGTGTTTTTCTCCAGTTTATGCTTTGGCTACATACGAGTATAGCACAAGTCAACTACATTATTTGGGTATGAGTTAACAGAATATTAACTTTAAGTTAGATTTTAACTGGACATTTACTTGTGGCATGTATGGCCTCAGAGTTAAGGGACCAAAAAACGAATGTCCATTAGAGTGGATAAAAATTAATTGCTGGGCATTAGGAGGATATCAAATATGCTTCTTATTGCTTCGAGGTGATCTACTCTTGCCAAATGTCTTTGCTGTCGAGTGTATTTTTATGTAGCACGCATATTTATCTTTTTTTATTTTTTATGGCAACATGAAATCCTATAGGCGAGAGTGTCCTAAATGTAGTAGTTTGGGGTCTATAAGAGCCCCACAGTGGAGGTGTCATAATACCCATAAAACCTAGCGGTCAAACAGGGAAATGGTTCCATTCGTTTTTCCGACATATATTTTTCCCATAGGGCATTTTAGAAACACTTTAAATAAGGGCTATGTTTCGTGTAGGCTTACCCTGACGTGATGTTTTGATAACCATGTAAATCTCTCTTGGACAAGGTGACTTTTGTCAATATATTTGGCTCTATTTACTCTGATTTGAAAATGCTAATTAGCATCAAAGTAGGCATCATGCAAAACTACAAATCCCTGCAAGCTCCTGCACGTCATCTCTAGCTCACACCTTTGCTAACAGGTATTGTGTCAATTTAAAACTTGCACAAGACAGATCACAGAATTGTCCATACAAAGAAATGTAGCCAATTTATGAATTACTACATTTGGCTAACATTAGATAGTTAATCCAGAGATGATTTGCCTCGATTCGGCAGTCTTGTCCAGATCATCATGGTATTTGTAGTTCTTTATGATAGCCACATTAGCAGCAATTAGCATTTCATTTTTGGGGGGTAAATACAGGCGAAAATATTGATAGTCACCTTGTCCTAGAGAGATTTACACGGTTATCATAACGTCACACCAGGGTAAGCCTAAACGAAACACAGACCTTATTTGAAGTGTTTCTAAAATCCCCTATGGGAAAATGAATGGTGGAAAAACGATTGGAACCATTAACCTGTTTGACCGCTAGGTTTTATGGGTATTATGACTCATACCCTCGGAGGGATACAGGTTTTAGTCCCCCAATGTTGGCTGCTTTGTACCTTTGAATTAAGTTCTTCCTCTGAATGGCTTTCATTAATACTGTATAGTATATCCTGCTTCTTTGTACAAAACCAAACGTCCAACCTGCCCATGTCAGTCTTTCCTTGACAAGGTTATCAATTGTTACAGTAAGTGAATGAATGAATACTTTAACCTGATGTC